GCGCATTCGTTTCTGCGCATGGCCATTCCAGCGCGCAACTTTGATTTCTGAATATTGTCTACGGCTTTAATTAATAGCACATAATGATAAATATATAAAGATGGAATCAATTAATCATATTGGTCATATATGTAGACTTGTCCGAAGAAACAGAAATAAAATTAAGAGATATTATTAATTTCTTTTTTTTTTTAGTAAAGGATGGAAATGTCTATTCATAGGCTTGTACTTTTTTTCCTCTTTCGCGCAATTTCGATTCAATATATAAAGTGGAAAATTCATAGTATATTATGTTAATGATATGAATTACGAACGATTCGATTGTTTTACTGCTGCCGCTCGCCGCCCGCTGAGCTACTGGTTCCCGCTGCTGCTGCTGTTGCTGGCCGCTGCCCGCTGCTGCTGATGTCGGCTGAGAGACCCACATTCTGAAAAAGAAAAAAAAATAAGAAAAAAAAAAGAACAAATTAGAATAAAAAGAGAAACAAATTAAAATAAAGAATAAAGTTTAAATAAAAGGCTCCTTAAACATAAAAGTAGGGAAATAGAAAAATTAGAGACAAAAGACAAAGATGACCGAAAGCTAGAAACTGTAAAAGGAAAGAGAATTAAAGAAAAAAAAAAAAAAAAAAGAAAAAAAAAATGCCCGCTGCTGCTGCTGCTGTCCGCTTCCCGCTGTCCACTGTCCGCTTCCCGCTGTCCGCTGTCCGATTCCCGCTGTCCGATTCCCGCTGTCCGCTTCCCGCTGTCCGCTGTCCGCTTCCCGCTGTCCGCTTCCCGCTGTCCGCTGTCCGCTTCCCGCTGTCCGCTTCACGCTGTCCGCTTCACGCTGTCCGCTTCCCGCTGTCCGCTGTCCGCTTCCCGCTGCCGCTGTCCGCTTCTCGCTGCCGCTGTCCGCTGTCCGCTTCCCGCTGCCGCTGTCCGCTGTCCGCTTCTCGCTGCCGCTGTCCGCTGTCCGCTTCCCGCTGCCGCTGTCCGCTTCCCGCTGTCCGCTGTCCGCTTCCCGCTGTCCGCTTCCCGCTGCCGCTGTCCGCTGTCCGCTTCCCGCTGCCGCTGTCCGCTTCTCGCTGCTGCTGATGTCGGCTGACAGACCCAAATTCTGAAAAAGAAAAAAAAAATAAGAAAAAGAAGGGAACAAATTAGAATAAGAAGAGAAACAAATTAAAATAAAGAATAAAGTTTAAATAAAAGGATCCTTAAACATAAAAGTAGGGAAATAGGAAAATTAGAGACAAAAGACGGATATGAGCGAAAGCTCGAAACTGTAAAAAGAAAGAGTATCAAATTAAAAAAAAAAAAAAAAATGCCCGCTGCCGGCTGCTGCTGCTCGCTGCCCGCTGCCCGCTGCTGCTGCTGCTGCTGCTGGTGCTGCTTAATTTTACCTTTACTTTTTCACTTTAATTTTTGCTCGCGTATTGTCCCGCCAACGGAGAGTTAGAAGCAATGGATTTCTTGATGCATTTATAAATTGATATACGAAATGCAATATTTCGCGCCTCGCGTTTCACACAATGCGGCCATCTTTTTTGCTGTTTAGTATCGCCATCTGCATTCGCGTTAAACGCCAGAATTACGTAGTCTAGATACTTCGACTGCCGGTAAAGTCATCATTTCGTGCATGTCGGTAAATTGATAGAATCACGTCGCGCAAGCATGATTTTTTTTATTTGTAGTATAATAAAATATGTAATTAAAAATTCATATAAGAAACGTATTTTTAATCAAATTACATATACTTATTCCGTTACTCTAATACTTGTACGTTAACAGATTTAGGTTACACACATTGCATAAAGCTTCCAGAGAAAAGTATCCAGAAGCACAAATATTTTATAGACGAAAAACATGCGAAGATGAAACAATAGATTAAAGAAGCCTTATAATCATTGTACCTTTATGTATAAACGTTTCACAAAATAAAATCTTTATAAATGAAGTATTACATTAAAAATATTAGTATAAAATTAAATATCCATGTCAGATTAAAAATTTTTTGTCCTTTTTTTTCTTTACAATTTTTTTATTTTTTTTTTCTAAAGATTCTTTAAGCGAGAACTGCTTCTTTCGCAAGACTATTGAACAATTTGAATATTTGATATTTTTTTAGTAGTTTAAATTTCGTGAAAAAATTCGAGAGAAAATTAGATTTTATCGTATTACTGCACATATCGATTAAATGCTATATCAAATGTAGTGTAAATATTTTAATTTTTTTGTATACGATCTACTTTTTATTCTATCTATGTTTTCATAGTGATGCACCTTGAGCACTTTGCTTCATATGTTTGCAATAAAAATATATTGAAGCAAATTATTTTGCAAATTTATTATTCTAATTTTTATTTAGAAAGATTAAGATTAAAAAAGACATATGAATTTTTTCAGATATTTCTATTGAAAAAAATGCATCAGATAAAACTGACTTTCCTGTACATTTTAAATGTGCCAAAGATTTGCTCTTTATTCCACTTACTGCAATAATGTACACTACAAATGACAGATCTATATTAAAAATGATAGATCTATATTTAGTAGTTGAAAAGAGAGGAGAAATGAAAAGTGTATCTAGAGAATTTAAAAGAATAAAAAACAAATCTAAAAATAATAATACATAAAGATTAATATTATGTATTTTTTTCATGAGGAATGTGGGGCGCACATTTATGCATTTATTTATTTAGATGAGATTTACTTTAGAGCACATTCAGTATTCAACTTTTATTTTATTTTCTCTTTCTTACGATATATAAGTATAACATAATTACCTGCAATTAACCAATCAACCAATTATTCCACCGCTCTGTTTCATTACAGTTGCAATTTTCTTTTATAATATCACGAATATTATAAATAAGATAAAGATTTCAGTACGTTTCAAATAAATTTATATATTTTATGTATGTAATACTGCGCACACATATTAAAAGGTGATAATATCGCAGTTATAATAAGATACAATCCTGGCAATGTAGCGATGTTTGGATTCTGAAAATAATTTAATTTGATTTATTTTTGAGAAATGCACACAATACTTGAGAGCAAATTATTTTTGTGCCATGTATTACCTGTGTAAAATTCCACACGCAGTATCATATTGTCTGCGATATATGAAAAGCTTCATCGATGAAATAAATGGTTGAATATGATTGAGATATAAGAAAAGTACTTGTAATGTAGTAATATAGTACTTGTAATGAATAACGTTAATGTGGAATACATAAATATTTTATATTTTAATTTCAATGTAATCGAGATGTGATAAAACACTCATGATTACTTTAAAAATGTGTCCACAAATATCATGTAACTTCAATAGCTGCACATTCGTCAAATTAATCCTATTACGTTAAATGAATCACAGCAGCTTGTTTTAATTTAATCTAACCTAACCAATTATATTATATGCTACTCATTAAAATGTGTAAAACTCTACGTCGCACATTTAATACGATTAATATATTACGTAATAAAATGTAATAAACTAATGAAATAATTAAATATTATTTTTTAAAGCATGATACAATCCAGGCAGCATACGCTTGTGTTTATATTCGATATTCAAAGACACTGAGAGGTTAGGTTAGGTTAGATCAAACAAATTTATCGTTTAACAGTTGGCAACCCTACGAGATAGGCTGTGCAGCACTGCGCGCGCGTATACAAAATTCAAATCGCTTCTAGCATAATCATCTTCACGCGATCGACTTATTTGAATTGCACCGAATCGAATTATGATGCGGCGCCGATTTGTCCGAATGTAATTCGGGACATCGCGATGCTGTATAAGCGTCGAATGAGCACGAATTGTCACGCAAATATGATAAATCAAATCTACTCAGACGGCCGCTCCTCCTCGGGACAGTTCGCTCGCCTCGGGACGTCCCATTCCGATCTTGATGCACACAAATTCACACGATATCATCAACGCGAACGCGTCACACTTTATGCGGCATTCCCGATACTCGCTCGCATCCGATAATCATCATCAAGGGCGCGAATAACGCGACGCAACTTCGCTCCATCTTCGCGATGACGCCATCACTGAATATCGTCAAAAATCGCTGTCGCGCGTTTCCATCGACACACTATGAAAGTCGCGCGATCATCCTTGGACACTCTCGATGCTCGTTTACTCGCGATATTCGTTTAAAAACGGTTAAAAGATGCGAAAAATGCGGACGTACGACGATCCGTGTAACTGCGTATGACTCCGATTCACGCGCCAACATGGCGGCCGTATGACGCGATTGACGTAGCAGTGACGTACAGTGACGAAGCAGTCACGCGCCAACAGGGCGACCGAACCACTGCGCATTCGTTTCTGCGCATGGTTATTCCACCTTAAAGGTGCGGCCTCATTGACGCTAAAAAGTAGCGTCAACCATTGGTTGAACAAAGAGGTAAGTATAGTTGCTTCAAGGTGCAATTTCATTGACGCTAAAAAGTAGCGTCAACCATTGGTTGAACAAAGAAGTAAGTAGTTGCTTCTTTGTTCAACCAATTGTTGACGCTACTTTTTAGCGTCAATGAAATTGCACCTTCATTGTTCAACCAATGGTTGACGCTATTTTTTAGCGTCAATGAGGCCGCATCTTAAGGTGCAATTTCATTGACGCTAAAAAGTAGCGTCAACAATTGGTTGAACAAAGAAGCAATTACTTACTTCTTTGTTCAACCAATGGTTGACGCTACTTTTTAGCGTCAACCATTGGTTAAACAATGAAGCAACTACATACTTCTTTATTTAACCAATGGTTGACGCTACTTTTTAGCGTCAATGAAAAGGCCGCTTAAGAGCGCTTTCACACCTCGGTAAAAAAGCTGGAAGCAGATGATTGGCTTCTGCCAATTATACTTATTACTAAGATGTAAATGTGTCTTTATAGCTAAAAAAAGCACCGTATAAATCACTTCGAAGATATTTGTCGATATTTTAAATTTCGTTGAAATTTTATTCGACACTTTTCTATATATCTTGAAGCAAGATTTGGATGTAGCAAATATTTTCATCGAAATCTTTAGCTGGAATCTTATATCTAAACATTTGCATAACAAAAAAGTACATATTATTTAGGATTAAATTCCGATTAACTTATAATATTTTCTGTAGTGTATGGAGTATTTTGATATATGAGAAAATTATTAATTATATGTAGATCAGATTACATTACGAACAAATGAATTATAATGATTGAAAATTCTTGTTACAGAGACAATTCTATCAGTTGATGAAATTGCTCGATTATCAATTTCCTTATATCATCTGAAATACTATTAAATAATTTCAATATCGTTCTACATGATATCAGCGTTTTTAGCTGTTGTGTAATCTTGAGATAAAATTTGATAGATACTTCTTCAATGAATAGCATACGCGTTAGGTGTGCTTGTGTACATAATTACACACTTGCGTTTATACAAATGCAAATTGTGACAGTGTGGATGTGATGGAAAAGAAGATTCGCGTCAAACTTTTTTGATTAATTGATATCACTATGATGGAGAGTACGAGCGATAAGTTTTTCTATGTATACAGTTCTTCATTAGATACCAGGATACAAGTTAAGATGTAAGTTTCGATCTCGTTTATGTTACTATTTGATCGAGTTCAGGTTATCAAGACGTTAAAAATACTTTGACATTCTTTTCATATGCAAAGATTAATTATACTAGTGTGAAATATAATCAGATCAGAGTAATTCATGCAATATGCTCGATCTGATCATTGTCTTTAATACCAATTGCATATGTAATTTACAAAATATGACTCGCATATAACTTGATTATTAGACAATTTATTTACTATTTCACAGAGGTACCCTAGAAGGCAAGAGACAGAGACCTGAATATGATGAGTTACTTCTCGATCCTCTGCTCAAGTACTCAGGTTTATATGAGACAGGTGGGATTCGTGGTGATTTAGCTGCGTCTCTGCAAGTATGGGCTGGTGGTAGACCATTGGCTCTGCCTGTACATACAGCTTACAAGCACTTTACCTCTCGTTGGAAGTATGTTCTATTTTAAATTTTAATATTATATGACTTATTATTACTATTAAATGATGTCTATGATATTGCGATATCTTTAGCTGGAACCAGTGGGTCTATCTACCAATCTCCTATATGGATCTGCCACGTGACGCACAATTATGTATAACCCTGTACGATTGCGCAGGACCTGGTAGACAACTTCCAGTAGGTGGCACAACTATATCACTGTTTGGCAAACATGGAGTGTATCGACAGGGTATGTTGGATCTTAGAGTATGGCCTGGGGTAGAAGCTGATGGTGGTGTTTTAACCACTACACCAGGAAAAGCCAGAGATCATGGGAAAGAACAAATGCAGAGACTTGCAAAACTTGTTAAGAAACACAGAAATGGACAAATAAACAAAATTGATTGGCTAGATAGATTAACTTTCAGAGAAATCGAGTTAATCAATGAAAGGGAGAAGAGAGCATCAGAGTACTTGTATTTGATGATAGAATTTCCAGAAGTTATAATGGATGGTGTACCGGTATATAGCACAATTTAAGTACTTTTTATATATAAAAAAACAATAATATATATATATATATATATATAATTTTTTTTATAGTATTCAATTGTGTATTATGAGAAAGATGGTGATGAAGTTTTCCAACATAGATTGCAACCAGATGTTGTAACACTTCCTGATTATGAGATCTTACAAGTAAGATTTTACAAGAGAAAATATATAATAAAAAGATATATATGTGGCATACAATATATGCTTCAAGCTACATTGAAATACAAGATAAAAAGTCAAGATTAATTTCTCTTTCAGGAAAATCTTGTAGAGGCAAAACATCATAAATTAGCCCGTAGTTTACGTAGTGGCGGTAACACTCGTGAATTAAAACCTACCTCGACTGTGCGGGACGCCTTAAATACTATATTGGGGTATCCATCGACAACTGCGCTTTCTACTGAGGAACAGGATTTGATTTGGAAATACAGATTTTATTTGTCTAGCCAGAAAAAAGCATTGACCAAGTTCGTAAAATGCGTTAATTGGAAAGTCGCTGGTGAAGAACGTCAAGCCTTGGAGATGTTAGCGTTATGGGCACCACCAGATTCTGAGGACGCCTTGGAGCTATTAGGACCTGCATTTACTCATCCGGCTATTAGGAGATACGCGATTAGCAGGCTCAATCAAGCTCCAGATGATGATTTAATGTTGTACTTGCTGCAATTGGTGCAAGCGTTGAAATATGAAGATTTTGAAAGTATTAAGACTGCTTATCAAGTAATGTTGAAGGAGAAAGAAGAAAGACTGGAGTCAAAGAGTTGGAATACCGAAAAATTGGAAAAAAGCGAAAGATTGGAGAAGATGGAAAAAATGGAAAAAACTGACAAATTAGATAAAGACATAAGAAATAGTGATTCTACATCTACACCAATTACGACTGTAAGTCAAACAATAAGTCTCTACTAATTTTACATTATATTTATATTTATATATCTTTGCAGTCTAGTGAATCGGAGAGTCAATTATCGACGAGCCAAGAACCGCTTATGGATTTAGCATCATTTTTAATAACACGTGCTTGTCAAAATTCAATGTTAGCTAATTATTTTTATTGGTATCTTTCTATCGAGTGCGAGGATCAAATTGATCCCGCGATAAGCGCCAAACAAGATACGCGAGTAAGAGAAATGTACGTAACTGTAATGAAAATGTTTTCCATGATGTTGGCACAAGGGAATACCGTTTGGCAGAAAAGAAGAGCATTTCTTTTACGACAAAAGGTGTTTATCGATCAATTGGTATCGCTGGTAAAAGCTGTTGCGCGAGAAAGCGGAAATCGTAAGAAAAAGACTGATAGATTGAGAGCATTACTGACGGATCCAGATCCAGCATTCAAGATTAATTTTTCGAATTTTGAGCCAATACCTTTTCCATTGGATCCCGAGATTTGTATTAAAGGAATCATTCCAGAAAAGTATACATATTCAAATTATTTGATATATTATTAATGTTAATTTATATATTATATTCGAATTTTTTTACTTTATTAATTTTTAGGGCAAGTCTTTTTAAATCTGCGCTCATGCCATCAAAACTTACATTCTTAACAACAGATAATACTGAATATATAGCTATCTTTAAACATGGAGATGATTTACGACAAGATCAATTAATTTTACAAACAATAGCACTTATGGATAAATTATTAAGAAGGGAAAATTTAGATTTAAAATTAACTCCATATAGGTAAAAATTTTTTTTACATAAAAGATAATATGTATGTAAAACAATCATAAGATTTTTAATCATTATTTCAGGGTTCTCGCAACAAGTACTAAACATGGTTTTGTACAATTTATCGAATCCACAACGGTTGCAGAGGTTTTAGCTAACGAGGGATCAATATTGAATTTCTTTCGAAAACATCATCCTTCTGAAACTGGACCTTACGGAGTAGTGCCTGAAGTTATGGACACTTATGTTCGCAGTTGCGGTGAATACGAATACTATAATTCTAGGAAAGAAAACAAATATAATGATTGTTATTTAACTCATATTTTAAAATTTCAGCTGGCTATTGTATAATTACATATGTACTAGGCGTCGGCGATCGTCATTTGGATAATTTACTTCTCACAGCATCAGGTATATTAATAAAAGATTTTGTATAAAATGAATGAGCGAGCCAAACAATTTATATTTTACAGGCACGCTCTTTCACATTGACTTCGGTTATATATTGGGTAGAGATCCGAAACCTTTACCACCTCCAATGAAACTCAGCAAAGAGATGGTCGAAGCTATGGGTGGCGTCGGTTCTGAACATTATCACGAATTTCGGAAACAATGTTACACGGCGTTCCTTCATTTACGTAGGCACGCCAATTTGATATTGAATCTATTTTCATTGATGGTGGATGCTAGTGTTCCCGATATCGCTTTGGAACCGGACAAAGCCGTAAAGAAAGTCCAGGATAAATTACGATTGGATTTGACTGATGAAGAAGCTGTACATTATGTGCATAATCTTCTGGATCTATCTGTCACCGCCGTAATGGCTGTGCTAGTGGAGCAACTCCATAAATTCGCACAATATTGGAGAAAGTAATGAGACGAAACATACACCAATGTACAGCGTAATCATACAAATTGTATTTCTTTCCATAAAAACATTAGAATTATTGTTTTATATTGTATATAAAACGACCACGAGATATGTTTATAACATATTAATATAATTTATTGTATTTTGAGCGTATTTAGGCAATAAATATTTGATAAGAATCACTTTTATTACCTGATACTATTTCAGCCGAGTGATATATTGATAAAAGAGATTTAATGTATATATTACATTCTAGATAACATATGCAAAATATAATTATTAAATTTTAAGCAATTAATTTGTAAAATATTTTCACCTAGTATATTTTATATCTGATTTTATCAAAATTGCAATAAAAATATGTGTAATTGTAACTATTATTTTTTTTATTCTATGAAATATTCAATTTATTCAGTTGATAATAGGATATTAATCGCACAGAAACAATATATATTTATTGTACATGTAATCTGTTATGTAAATACTCGTATATTTATTTTATTCTTAATTACAATCGTGTATGTGGTGCACACAATAGAAATATAAATGTAAATAGATTCATATTGTTAGTGTTGAAAATATTATTGTTATATATGTGAAACGCAGAGTACTATTTTTATTTTTCAGTATCACTTTACGTCATTTTTATGAATTTAATGAAGTCAAACGTAGCATACATACATGTATATATAGCATACATACACATATCTCATTTGTATCAGAAATTTTTTTTCTTTAATAGAAAATGTAGTTACATATATATATTTCCCAATCTTACAATACTACATGATACCTGCAGATATATACGAATTTTAATATAACTTTGATATATATATTCATATACCTATATATCCAAAAAAAATTATAGAACATTAACAATTCAGTCCGTCCTTGAAGATTTCTCAGGTTCTTCTTACATTCTACAATATTATATCGAGTTTATCTGTTATTTGAAATTATAATTCACAAAAATTTATTTTATTTTCCGATATCGACGTATAATATGTATGTACATACGTGGCCACTTATAATTAAAAAAAAGAAACGCCACGAGAAATAAAAACAGATTTATTCTTGAAATAACACAAGGTTATAAAGAATATAGTATAGTGATATTTCTTATGACATTTTGATAAATCTGTTTTGCTTGTGGATTGCACTATAAAAATCTTCGAGTTCACTCTCTATATAATTAAAACTTCTTCACATTTCGCTTATTAAGAATTAGCTTCATCTCGGATGAAATAAATCGTTTTACTTAAGAATTAGAAGATAGATTTCAGATTAATTAAGGCATCCCAAACATGATAGATTTCCTGTAAAATAAAATCTACACGCGTTTCTTTTACAACACAATCGTCTTAACACAATCGATTAATATTAGATAGACATCATATTGGGTGAAATAATAAACATTTTTATTTTCCATACATATGTTGTCTATAAACTTTATATCCTACAAACTAAAACATAAGCCTAATAGAAAACGATCCTCGTTTCGCTCAAAGCCTTGCACATTTTGTGTTGCATACAATTTAAAATTTATTACATTGTTCACATATACAACAATTGAGCAAAGCGAGGCGTGGTGTAACTTATCCGCGAAAAAGTTAAGTCTTCAAACGAGAAAGTCCTCATTCATATCGCGTCTCTGCCAAAGTATATATTATAATAAATGTATAATGAAGCATATTGTGCTCTTTACATCGGTATAGCAAACTTGTACCCAGGCACAATATGGGGATGCTAAAAGGATATAAAATAAGCGAAAATATGTCAATTTTGATCATGTCGAAGACTGAAGTTATTATGAAGGATGTGTTTTTTCCAGAAGCACCATTGAATTCATTACGGTTCTTTTTATATAATTACATCAACTCCTTTTCTCTCTCTCTCTCTCTCCCTTAGTTCGTAGAAGTGTACTATAAATGAACTTGCTTATATTACGACTGGACATTACGAAGTAGCAGTGAAATCTTGGGATGTTGATTGCGATTCTTCTTCTTTTTGGTTTTACAAATATTTTTCACTTTATATTATTATTTTATTATTCAACGATTACATCATCTTCAACATTTTGTTATAAAGAAGTTCCGCGATTTTCTCACTCTCTGCTACATCGTAAACACACAAAAATATCGACGCAGAAATCGCCCATCTCTGACATTAATCTTTACGATATTCTAAAAAGAAAGAATAATAACATATATTCTGTATATACAGGATGTTTCTGTTCACTTTTTCGCATAATAATGTAAAAGACATCCTCAGTCTAACATATTCGTATTTAAAACATGCTAAGCTAAGGCGTTTTTTTATCTATCGTTCGAGAACGTGACGCAGAAAGTACATCCTGTATAAATAGTTGACTTAAAATTCTTATATGATTATATGATTATATACACGATTCTTTCTTTTTTATCATATCAAACGTCGATGACGGTAAAATCAAGATTATAACGATATAATGCTATATATGAAATTATGTATACATATAATCCCCTTGTACCGAAATCTAAAAACGAATTACATAAATTCACGGCTTTTTTTATTTTAACACGCATAAACATACGCACGCATACATATGCGTGCACGCTTATTTGTTTGTACGTAGGGACCTAACGATAAAAACCTAACACCTAAATTTAGATTTCAGCGCTTGTGTATACTTAATACGTTAATAATTTTATCTTAACATTATATTTACATCTGAAAGTAGACTAAAAAGTCTGTATGTTGACGGGGCTGCAGAGACAGTACGACCGATAGTCTATTTCAATGAGGGACACTCTTGCTCGTTACCGTCTTCCGTAGTATATTACCTGTCCATAGGCCTGGTGGCTGGCACTGAGCTCTCCACGAGATCGTGCCTCTCGATCGGCGAATTTTCCAGGGTGTAGTCCACCGGATATCCTTCGGAATAGGTCGGTGTAGCCTCGCCCTGCTGCCTCAGTCTAAGCTCCCCCGATCTCTCCTGATAGAAGCTCTGCGATGCCTCGATGTTCGGCGACGAGGACGACGACTGCTCCTCCGTTTTACCGTCCAGATCGTCCGTGGAATAATAGCTCTGGCTCGCCTCGCTCTCGGGTCTGCTGGGATCGTAGTAGCCGGACGAGATACTATGGCTGGTGTAATTGGGCGTCTCCTCCTCGGCGGGCGCAAAATAGCTTTGACTCACCTCCTGCGGATTGCCCTCGTAGTAGCCGCCAGGCGTGACGTGCTCCTCGTGTGGGTCTTCCTCCAGACGGGAGTTGGCATCTTGGTCCACGGACTCGTAGTAACTCGCCGTCACTTCTTGGTGATGGGCGTAATAGCTGGACGGCTCGTTTTGGTGATGATCGCCGCTCTCCGTGACGAAGTTCTGCGAGCAGGTTTCTTCCAGGCCAGGCATCGAAATCGGTACCTCGTACGATGTCGATACGTTCTGCTCGACTATTACCTGATCGTCGTAGCTGGATGTAGGCACCGAGTCCACGTGGTGGGTCGACGTGATATCGGGATTCAAGTTGTACGATGAGGAGGTCGGGATTTCCGGCACGCCGTTGTCATGAATACCGGTATGCTCCGTACTGACCGACGTGTCCGGTATCACACTGGACGAGGCAATGTTGAGTTCTTCGCACGGCGGAATCTCGTAAGACGACGTACTTATCGCACTTTCCTGATCCTGATCGCGCTCCTGATTCTCGGGGGTCTCCGGCACGTAAGACGAGCTTGCCGTCTCGTCCTCGTTCAATCCGGAATTGTTAGTTGATACAGACGACGTGCCGATTCCATCGGCACCGATATCGTTCGACTGCGACGGTATATTGCCTTCTTGACTGATCTCGGCATCGGTCTCCATATCTTCCGTCGTATTCTCTCTCTTGTCAACCTCGTAACTCTGCGTAGGAAAGCTCTGATCGTCGATCGCCTCGTCAGCGCTCGGTCGTTCTACTTGATTCTGAATTTCGTTGAAGGATTGCGTAGGTGCGTTTACGTTGGCTTCCGTTGAAACCTCGTACGATTGAGATGCCTCGTTGATCTTCGAGTGTTCGAAAGACTGAGTCGGCGGTTCCGCCACGACGGTCTCCTCCTCATCGATCTCCATCGATTCGTACGCGATCGACTGCGTGGCCTCGCCCGACGAACTCTCAAGTTTGCCGGCGGATTGACTAGGTAGATCCGCGGAGTCACTGCTGATGGATACGTTGAACTGCTCGTATTGAGATTGCGATGGCGTCTCTTGACTAGCTTCCGCGATCGCCACCTCCTCTTCCTCGAAATGCAGTTCCATGCTCTGGCGCAAACGACGCCTGTCCGATTCTTCCTGCGACGACGGTTCGTCCTTCTGACTATCTTCCGTGCCTTCCGTACCTTCCTTGCCTCGCTTGTCGTTTGTCCTGCCGGCATACAACTCCGATTCTACTGCCTCGTTCACCTTCATAATCGCATCGCTCGTGGCATTTAACAACTCGGCTGGTAGAATTTGCGAAGCTGCTTGAGTTTCTACTTGGCTTGACGTCCCGGCTACCTGCTTATCTAGCAAATTAGTTTTAGATCCTTCGGAAAACGTTAGCTGCTTCAACTTGTCCACGGTGTCCGCTTCGTGCGATTCAGTGGCCTTAAGCTCACTCGAATCAATCGCTTCAAAACTCATTTGTTCCATCTTAGAATTAGATTCGGACGTAATCGAATCGGTTTCATCTATTATCGGTAAACTAGTCGTCGAGGTATCGCTCTCCTTGTTATCGCCTTTCTTTTCCCGCGCGACTTTCATCGCGATCGAGGCGCTATCTTCCTTAGCCGGTTGTTGTAGGATCAACTCTTCAGCTGTGATAGGAACTTCTTGAGAAGAATATACTTCCTGCGTCGCGGTTTGCTCCTTGTCCGAATTCTTGGATGACTTGTCGGTCGATATAATTGGTTTCTGTGGAGAAGCCGGAACTTGATGCGTGGAGATAATCATTTCCGACGTTTCCGCAATGTCTTCCAATGGCATATGTTCCACTGTTGGCGCCTTGGAGACTAGCATCTCCGAGACCGGTACGTCTACAAATGTCTGTTCGGCGACGATCGTCGTGGTGAATTGCGAATTGTCCGTGTACGTGTCATCGATGATAGGCATCGACGGAGTGGTTTGTACCTGCGGATTCTCTAGGACGATACTGTTCGGCATGGTGACCGTGTACGAGACCGATGGCGCGATTGCGATTTCGGCGCTTTGCACGTTTTGCGTCTCTGCGGTCGCGATATTGTTCTCCAGATTTGGGATGACCACGTATTGAGTACTCGCGGGAATCTTGGCGCAATCGATATCTTCACTGCTCGCTGCCGCCGTCGGGCCCTCAATAATCTCGCCAATGTCTGGCATTGAGTTGCCGGGAATCTGAATCTGCGGTTCACCCGTGGCAGATATGTAAGAGATACTGGGATTCGTAATGGTAATCGGTAGCTCAAGAGAAGATGGGATAGTGGATACCACCGATGTCGGAGTTGAATCTGTTGACTGAATTGGCAAGCTGCTCGGTACCTCGAGCGGCGTCATGATGGGCTGATTTAAAGTCAATGAGGTTTCCAGCACCGACGGCGATGATATTGGTTCTGTGGGCGGTATGATAGTCGACTGTAGTATTGTCTGATTGATAAGACTCGTCTGAGTAAGACCGGTCTGAGTCATGACACTACCGGATGCTTGATTCTCTGGCAAATTGATTTCTTGCTGGAAATCTGTATTAGCCAGAGCGGCTGCCAGTATGTCTTGATTAGACGTCTGTATCACTTCTGACGTGGGGAAACTCTCCGTTATAATTGTTGTTTGATTAGCCTCTGTCACATTGGTTTGAATGTTCGGCAGGATACCGTTGTCGAATTGAAGAACAATGTTATCCAAGGTTCCGGCTTCTCCCAGAGAACTAGGATCTATGTATAAAGTCCTCGTGCCATCGGGATTTTGCGTAGTTCCTTCCAATGACATGAGAGTATTATTATCGAGCGGCTGTATCTGTCCTTGCTCGTCAATCGTAACTAACACGTACGTTTGTGTGCCATCGCTGCTCTCTGTTGGTAAAGCCATGATTTGTGGTTGCGCGGCTATTTTCGGTTCTTCCGTTTTTTCAACGTCTACGTTACTTTTTTCATGAAGTTTCTCAACTTTACCTTGTTCCTTTTGAACGGCATCCGTAAGCTGAAGATCCGTTTTCACTTTTTTTTCCGCATCGATCGGTTCCAACGGTGGTAACGCCATGGTCGTAACGGTATTCACGTTCGTCGTGACAGCGTTTATAGAATTCATAGCGATATTCAACAGATTCTTCTGTGCCTTGCTTGACGCGTGAGACTTCGTGGTGGATTTTGGAGGGGTCGCGGAGATTGTCTGTTTCGACTGGGCGACCGTCTTAGCAGCAATCGGCACATTTGCCGAGGTCGCCGTGGCGATCGTCTGTTTCGCGTGGATGCTCTGCATCGTCGATACAACCGGCTCCTGCACTTTCTGGACAAATTTCTGCTGAGTTTTAGTCTGGCGACCAGTTTTAGGAATAATAACTTTTGGCACGGTTGCGGTCTTGTTTTTCGGCTGTACCTGCTGTGTGACCATCGTTACCGTCTGCTGTGTCCCGCTCGGCGAAGCAATACTTATGGTAGCGCCTGGTTGCACCACCGCTTGTTGCTTGATGCTCTTCTTACCGTGCGATGTGCTCTTCTGAGCCCCTGTGCCGGTAGTGTTCGGCAAAATCAATGTGCCACCGGATGATTTCGCGGATGATTTCGTTTGCGAGCTTGCAGCCGATATCGGTACTTTAGACGATTTCTGCAATATAGGCAACTGTACCTTTTGTTGCACTGGCTGATATACTTTGCCGCCTTTGCCCGGGCTTTTGGCAGCGATGGCCTTCACCTGTTGCCCGGTTATCGGCGTAAGGATAGTACCTTTGCTGCTAACGATGGCCTGCGGATTTAATATAGTCTTACCAGCAAGAGCTTGAGACACTGGTGTCAAGATCGCTTTCGAGCCACCTAGATTTTGAGTTTGCGGAGACAAGAGAGTTGCGCCGCCCTTCGTAATTAAAGTCTTCGAGCCAATAATAGTTTTTCCGCTCAAAGCTGAGGCACTAATCGGAGTATAAATACCACCTTTTGTAAGGATTCCCTGGGGTAGTGTGCCTAATAATGCTGTTTTAGCAATAGTACCTGAAATCGGAGTGAGTACACCTTTAGATGTGATTATACCCTGCGTATTAATAATCTTATGACTACCGGTGGCTAGTTTGGATGTGGTAGGCGAGCCAGCGATAGCTGCAGCAGTGTCAGTTTTCGGCGCAATAATCTTCGAAGTAATTATACTACTCTGCGGACTGATTGGACATAGTAACTGACCCTTACTCGTCACGATTCTTTGCATTTTGCCGCTCAGAGTCTTGGAAATATTTAATGGCACCATTTTTGACTGACTCGATGTCAATATGACAACTTTATTACCTTGCTGAATCACTTGCGCGTTGCCCGCCGCCTTGCCAGTAGTTGGAATAGTGATCTTCTGTTGAGTACCGGATTTGCCTTGAACACTATAACGCAGTTGCTGAGTGCCCGCAGTCTGTACAACAACATATTTGCCTTTTTGTGTCAAGAGAGACGATGTTTTGCTGGATGGTTGAGCGCTTTGAAACTTCAAACCCTTTACACCACCGGTGAGCGGGGGCACCAGTGTTTTAACGCTCGTAATGGTCGGTTTCGCTTTGCTTTCTTTTTTCAATATCGCCGGCATGCCACTCTTCTTCTTCGACGGCGACGTCTCGGCCACGGTGGTTTCATTGGCGATCTTAAATTGAGTCTGTTTAGTAGGTGATAATATTTGCGTGGTAGGAGTGAAAGAGAGCGTGGCTGGAATTGAACTGGATGCCGGTATGATAGAAGATATGACGACAGGCATCTGTTCAATGCTCTCGGGTGTTAGCACGTCTTCGCTGAGGACAAATGGCATTGAGTTGATATCCAGCTCCATGTCTGCTAGACTTTGAGAGCTCTGTTGTATGTACTTTTCTGTCGCCGGTACAGTCACGATAGTTTGCGTCGTGGATGCGCTGCTTTTTTCTTTATTCTGCGCCTCTAGAAATGCGTCTGTCTCTTCTGTCTTTAAAACTTGCAACTTCTTAGTCAGAGACATATGTGAACTTGGTAGATTAGACTTTATGGTTTTTAGTTTACTATTCGAGGGTAGAGTTTCTATCTTCATTATCTTGGCTTTGGGTCCACTCTTTTGATCACTTTTCTTCGTTACGTCCATTTCCAATTTATGTTTGACACCTTTTTGCGATAGCTTGTTCGGTTTTAAAATTTGCACTGGTTCAGTCAACGTAACATTTTCTATTATTCGTGGCATTTCACGTTTTTTTACTGGTACGCTGATATCGGATGATAAAGAAGATGTAGATACAGATGAAGTTTTTGGGATTTCGCTCAATTTTTTAACATCTGAAATAGTTTTAGCATTATTTTCAGATGATTTAGACGTAATGATAAATTCATTGGGCGAGGATCCAAGCTGAGTACTAGTAGTTTCGCAACTATTATCTTTAATTTTGTCATCGATCTCTATTTTCTCCTCGATAACTACTTCGATATTTTCAAAATTACTCACAACCGAAACATTTGATCCTTCAATTGGAATATTTTCGGAAACTTCTAAAATTTTTGAATCGTCAATTTTTGTACTTTGTGCAGGTATGGCAGCAATATTTACTTTAACCTCTTCAGCTTTCTTTTTGATAGATTTTTTCTCCTTCTTACCTTTGGGTGATTCTGCACCTTCAATCTTCTTCTTATCCATCTGTAAAGTCTTCAGAAAAGCTTCCTGGAATGTATTGGCTGGCCTTTCTTCTAAAAATAAATCTTTGTCTTTTTTTCCTTTACCTGTTTCAGGAGTGAATTTACCTTTATATCTCGTTTGCATAGAAGATTTCTTGGGAGTTAATTGTTGCTCGATTATCGTTTTGGTTGGACTCTTTGGTATATTATCCGCATCGTCTGGTTTGGATGTCTCGAATGACGTTTCAAGTGATTTTAATCCAAGCTGACTAACATCTTGTGATTTTTGCAATACTTCTCCTATCGATTGCATTTCTTGTTCCTTTTTATCTGATTCATTTAAATTTTCCTGCAATTCAGAATTTTTCAAGTTTTCTTGCTCTTCTTTTTTAGTGTCCAAAATTTTTGCGATTTCATCTGTTATTTTATCTACTGTTGCTTTTATCACTATTTCATCTTCTTCATTTACTCTTTCTTTAGTATCATTCTGAAATTCAGACTGATGTTCAAATTCGATTTCAATCTTAGAATCAAATTCAATCTCTTTACATTCAGACTCAAGTTTGGTGTCTACAGTTTTATTAACTTGCACATCTGTATCAAGATCTTGCGATGATTCAAATTTTTTCATCTGAGACTTTTTTGGCGGTAACATATCCGTACTTGTTTTTGAAATATCCTGCTGTGTTTCAACTCTATCAATGATATCTTCAGTTTGTTCTAGAATTGAAGATTTATTCTGATTCTTAAGATTTTTTTCAATATCTTTATTTGGCTTTATTAAATTTCTCTTTTCTTTCACTTCTGATGACTCCTTGATAGTTTTATCCAAATCAAGTTCTATTTCCTCCATTTTATTTGAAGCTTCTAACACTGTAGTTGTTTCTACATTTTCCAAAGATACGTCCATATCAATTTTCGTGACGGATGCTTCATCCAAAACAGCTTTTATTCGCTCTTCGAGTATATCGCATTTTACTTCCTCAGATTTTCCTTCTTCTTCTTCGGAAAATGTTTCCTTTTTAGAGACACGATTATCAAAGAGTTCGTGTTTCATATCGATCGATGAGACGCTGGTGCTGTTTTCAGCAACAGTTGGTGTTTGATCCGATACTTCTATTTCTTCCTTATCCCTCTGGGTGACGAGTCCGCTGCTCTTTTTATCAGCGCCTCTCGAACGTCTGCCTCTTCTGGATTTACTTATAATTCTCTCGGGAACTTTAGTTTCACTTTCAGATTGACTCTCATCTGTCTTGAACGCTTTGTAATCAGGATCTTGAACATATATATCGGATTCCAAGTATTTTTTATTTGGTTTGCGTCTTCTACCGCTGTACGATCGATCTGTATCAGAATCCGAAGTCTTTCGTTCGATTCTTTCGCTCAAGCGAAATCTCTTGTTACCTCTATTGGTTTTTACTTTGAGACTTTTGTCTGTATTAGCATTTTTATTAGCCGTTTTCGCATTTTTCCGCGGTCGTCCTCTTCCCCTTTTAATTAATGGCTGACCAATACGATTACCTGAGACACCATCGTCAATACTTTGATCTTGATCTAATAGATCAGTGTCTGAATTTTCGCTTTGTTCAGGCATAGTCTCTGCAGATTCGGACACGGTTTCATCCTCCGTTTCCGTGGTAAATCGTTCGGATAATGTATCATCCGCTTCTTTCATAGAAGTGTTATCATTAGATTCTATAATCGCGTCCTCTGAGTCAGCTTTTTCGGACTGAAGCAATTTATCATCGTTATGTTTCATATCTGATGTTTCAATTTTTTCTAATGTTTCAGCACTTTTTGTCAATACTTCTGGTGTAGTAATCTTAGATTTCGTTCCACTATGCTTTGTAACATTTGAAGAATGTTCATTATTACCATCTTCTCTCTCTTCAACTATTTCTACAATCTCCACTTCAGCTTCGGAACTATTAGTATTAGACTTCTGTTGATCATTTTTTGATTGAATAGTTTTCTTTTTGTCTTCATTTTCAGGCTGTGTCGTTTCTATTTCATCTTGTATATTCTCATCGAGATCTTTATTCGCTTTTATTTCTTTCTTCTCTTGTCGATTGTCACTACCTTGTATTATTTCCATTATTTCATCAGCTTCTAATTTCATATTTCTACCTAGTTCAGACATTTCGGCTTCTCTCTTCATTTCATTTTTCAAAGCTTGACTCATTGCAAATTCTTTAATAATTTCTTTTTTCAAAGATAAATTTTTCTCACCAAATACCCTGGGAATTTTTCGTACAGGTGGTATAGATTCACTCAAATCATCTTCGTCAAAATCAAAACATGATAGTCGTGATTTTTTGTCATCTTTGTCATTTTTGCTCTCACTGTCAGAACTCGAAGTATCCTTTTTTGGCGACTTATTGAATGTTTCATTAGACATACCGCTAATCTTAATATCTGTTTCAGTCTCCGATTTCTTATCGAAATTACTCAATCGTTGTATTTGTATTGAAGATAATTCTTCAGTATCTTTAAGTAATTTCTCTGTTTCCGCTATAATTTCATTAGTCTCTGCAGCTCTCTCTTCATTGTATTCTTTGTCATCGACACTTGATAAAGTCTTCATAGGTGAACTGTTCAGAGAATTATTTACATTAATAATTGTTTCTTCGTCCGATTCATCCTCCCAATCAGCTAACAATTTTTCGCGCAATTCTGGATCAGTTTTCTTCTTCTTACTGGATTTCTCATTCTGTTTCGAATGTCTTCGTTTACCTGATTCCAAGCTACTCTCACTCTTCTTTCTGCTCGAATGGCTCTTATCTTTTCTTACATATTTTCGTTTCGGTGTACTTGTATCAGAAATTCTACTGTGCGACTGAGAATATGTTTTCACCTTCGATCGTGGCGTCGGCGAGTCGCCGGACCGATGACTTTTTATGTGACATATAATCACATTAACGCGCGAGGAAGTAAAATTACAGAAATGGCAACGATATACTGGGGAACCTGTGTTAATCGGAGTTGATGGTAAACTGCTGGGTTGCTGACGAATGCGAACCTCATGATCACTCTCTCCGCGCAAAAAACGCGGATGTGTGATTTTCTTCATGTCCCCGCTATCGCTTCGCCTATGTCCGTCTTCGCGATCGCGCTTCTTTTTCGGGATTTTCTTCTCGCCGAACAAAGCAGAAATATCCGGCTTCTCTTCTGGATAAAATTTTCCTTGGTTCAATATATCGGGATCTCCTCCCGTTAATTTTTCCGCTGTCTCTACATCGCCCGGAAATTTGTCCATATAACTGGAACCATCCTTACTTTTGCTTCTGTATTTATCTATTAAATAAAATTGAACAAAGCTTAATTTATGAAGAAATTATTAAGAAAGACAATCTACTTGGGAATTTAAATTAATATATTAGATATTAGTTATAATAACTAAGTGGAACCATCTTACGATACTTACCCATGCCTTTTTTAATAAAATCATCTTTAAGCGTGCAATTGTACTTGTAAATCTGTTGATAGTTCTTTACAAATTCACTAAAAAAAATAATTATTTAAGTAATTGTTTTCAATAATTCATTTAAGAATACATTCAAGTTGAGTTTTTGAAACTTACTAGGTATCTTCTTGAAAAAATTTAACAGCAGCAATTATTGGTTTCTTTTGAAATTCAGCTCGTATATCTTCTGGCAAATTATCCAATCCAGTAACTTGCCCAGGCCACCAGCATGCCCCCAATTTAACCCAAACAACATCCCCGTCCAGATAATTGATTTCCGTTTGTTCACACATTTTAGTGTAATATTTGATCGAGTTCTTTTATAAAATCAACATTGGAAAATACCAAATAATCTTTTAATAAATCTACTCTTAGATGGATATCAGCAATATTGCCCAGGATGAATATGCTACATGACAAACAAAAAAGTTCTTAAGTATTACATTGTGATCTTTATGTGTGATTAAAATATAACTTATTAAAAGAAAAAAACAAAATGCCTTTACAACTACATACGAATATATATGAATATATAAATAAGCGCAGGAATATAACACTCGATAAAATATATAAATTGCACTTCAGTTATATTCTTTTATGTTTTCACAATTATTTCTCTACTTTTTCACAGTTTCAGTTTCCAAATACAAGAATCATCGAGCACATTACGTTCTCATAGATATTCTCCATAAATCAATGTGCAATCTCAAAGTACACTTACAATCACTAGAACTATTACTGTACATCCCTCGAAACGTTCCCTCGCGTCTGCAAAATACACTGTAACTGTCTCTCAAACAAGTCTTCCTCTGGAATATTCAGCATACTCCTTCACAACTATAAGAACATCAGGTTGGAATCTAGGAGCCTCAGGGGTGGATCTCACGGTGCGCTCGCGGAGAAGGAGAACCGCATTGGACTGCGTGCTCCAGCTGCCTCGATGATGACGTTGTTACACGCGGCAGCAGCTACGTCGGGCATCTTAGCCCGCGTGAGTCGCGTGACAAGCCACTGTCCGTCTTCGACTCGTGCAATTCTCGCTCGTCTGCAATTCTTTCCGTTCCCTTGCCGCCAATTCAACGCGAATATATACAGGCAAGCTCGTGTGCGCGTATATACACACACAGTACGTCGAGAATTAACGTGAGCGTCGTTCCAGGAACGCAACGGTGGAAGGCGCGCGCGCGCGAACGCGCTCTCTCTCTCTCTCTCTCTCTCTCTCTCTCTTCGTCCTTATCTCTCCTCCTTGTCCCTCTCGCTCGCTCTCACTCGTTCGTTCTCGCGGCACCTTGTTCGGACACCCGTCCGTTTCGGCGGTACGCAGCACCAGGAGGCCGCCAGAAACGCCTCGACTCGCGATCCCGTGCGCATGCAAGCGCAAAGGGAGAAACAGCTGAGCTGAACCGGGCTAGGCCGAATTCGAAGGAATCAACGTTCGGAAGGCGCGCTACGTCGCTCGTGCGATACGACGACATACGTACATGCTATGCTCGGTTACCCGACTTGCAACGGGGCCCCGCACGGTGGATAGATGCGACGTCCAAATGCCTGAATGTGTAGACCGAATACCTCCCTCTCCGTCGCGAACGTGCCTGTTGGCAGATCTGCCAACTGCGCGTGAATCATGTGCGCGCGCGTTTCGAGTTTGACCTATCTTCCTTTTCTACCTCGGCATTCGACACGCGATGTCCGGAAAAATGTAACACGGAGAGGTCTCGATTAATTTGCAAGCGATGAAAGCGAGGTATGTGGAAACTGGCTATAAAAGCTCTTGTTTGACGCAAAAAAGAGTATCACACATGACATGTACAATATATAAAATATGTAAGTATATGATAATAACCTGTGTTTCTCATCTGCACTTTCTGCATCTGCACTTTTCTATATTTTTCTTTCCTTTCTTTCTAGATAAAGTATATTTCATCTTAAATACAAAAGGTGTAAGAGCAGATATGGAACAGAAGATTGGTGCGTTTCTTATGCACTTGTTGATGAGGCGCGACAAATAAAATGAAACTGACATAAGTTTCTGCGACCAAGAGATAAACATTCGATAAGGAGAAAGACGTTCAACTTTGATCCAATTAGAAGCAGTAAGGTAAGTGCGTTTATTAAATATATGAAAAGACTGCTTTTTAATTATAAAATTGATATTTCATCTAAAAGCATCGATAATTCTATATTATTAATTTTTATCAAATAAAGATTTCTTTATTAAGTAAAAAAGTGCAGATTACATTCATCACTTTTAAAATTATTGAATTTAGAAATTGTCCTTTAGATTTTTGGATAAATATTTATGAATTTTTGTGTATATATAAATTTATTATCCACTATTAATTATTTTCTATATCAGATAATGTAACACTATATCGATATACACCGTATATATTTTCGTATTACTCATGTTATGTTTGAATAAAAGAAAAATTTGCGATTTTTCCTATTTCATATTTATATTTTTTATAATCTACTACTGTGATATAAGGTTTTTTTTATTTCAATAATTTATTGCAATTTTTCATTGAATAGTATTCGGATATTATGCCGCGAATTTTTGTTGCGAAAATAACATTGTATATTTCTATTTTTTAATATATGTAGAACGATTCAGAACAAATATAATATGTATCTGTTACAAGTATAATCTATCCAAACAAGTATAATATATATGTACGTCTTTGTTGGAATTGTATGCAAGACTTTTTACTTATCTCTCTAATGTATAATTTACTTTTTAAACTTGTTGCAAAAGTTGTGATGTTTGAATTAGTGTTTTAGAAATCTCTTAAATATCTTTTTTTTAATAATAAGTTATATTTATATATTCTTGCATTTGTATTTCGTTAGATAAGAAATTATAACTTGATTTTTTTCGCGATTTATAAATGATAATTTTTTTTACAGGAAACATCGATACTAATCAATCTATATTTATACGTGATCATAGGTCAGAGTACGTCCATGCATACTTCGCAATGGCGCGAATCGCGCCGAAATATTTTTCATCACGGCGCAGTTGTCTACCCTGTGTCGCCGGGTGCCGTGACGCGGCTAATCGCCGCGACGTGGCGCGAGCGTCGCGGTTCGCTTCCGGCGATACGTCGTCGACGTACAGCGCCAATTTTTCTTGGCGAGCGTTCCATTTTCCGGTCGCTTCGCCGGTTTTATTACGCGTCGCGACATCGACGACAGTCGACGAGTCGTATTCGACGCTGCTGTCGTTTCGTCGATTTTCTTCGTCGATCACCCTCAGCTTAACGTCAAAAGCGTACGATTCAACGTCGCTGTCAACTTTCGACGTACATCTTCGTTATCAGACGGAAAAATGGCGACCGCCATGCCATCGCGATTCGCCGTCCTTAGCATCGAGGATGACGACTTCAAGCCGAAGAAGGCGCAGAAGAGCGCGACGACGAGTAAGACTAGTGCGAAGAATAAAAGTGACAAGCCGAAGCAGCAACAGCAGCAGCCGCAACAGCAACAACAAGCGAACAAAAAAAAACAGAACAAAGTACGATTCATGCGTCCATTGTTGTTGTCGAGTTTTTGTTTTCAATCAGCCGGCGAAACGTCAGCCGGATGCGATGTTGTGGCGGGAAATTTAGACATTTCAAATTTATTTATTTTTTTGTTGTAAGTTTCACGATTCTTTTTGGCTTTAGGGAAAGAAGAAGAAAATAAATAATGACGATCAGCAATGGGAACAGTGGAAGCAAAAAGATACGATGGTAAAATATTAATCTTTGAGGGAATTAATGTAAGATTTATTTATCTAATAATTTATTTTTTACTTTCTAAAAATATATGATGTTTGAATAAGTGTTTTAGAAATCTCTAAAGTTTTTTTTATTTAATAAATTAAGTTAATATAAGTTTTATAAGTTGTATTGTAGAAAATTAAAAGTTGCATACATTTTGAGAGATTTAATTTTAATATAATTCAATATATCCATAATTATCTGTAAATTTATATTTATTTACAATATTTTTTGTAATTATCTATAATTTTGTTTCATATCATGTAATAATGATTTCCCTAAGGCCATCGAAGAAGCATTTGAACAGGAATTACATCAAGCTATCTTGCTGTCAAAACTGGCATATGAAGAAGAATTAGTCAGCACGGCAAAGAATGAAAAAGAACAAGAACAGATAAAAAAGTCTGGTAAAAAATCAAAGAAGACAACCATGTCTATAGTAGAATTCAATAGTCTGTCGTCAAATCTACTATCATCACCAATATCAAATGAACTTGTAGATAAATCGAAAGGTAGAGATTTATATGATGAAAAAATGAATTAAATAATTTTGGAATGTATAAAAAAATTAATGTAAAATCAGAAAGAAAATATTTAAATGATAATTTTTCTAATTTTTGTAGAAATAGACGCAGAGTTTTTTGACAGAGTAGAGAAGGAAACAAAAGAAGAAATAACAAAGGGAAAAGAAAAGGATATGCTGAAAGCTAGATTTAATAAAATCGATGACGATATAACGTCCGCGCAATTAAGAGTAGAGATTGAAAAACGTGATGAAATAATCGAGCAATTAAGAACCGAAGTACATACATTGAAAGAAGAGTTAACACAAGTTAAGGAAAGAAATAAAAAATTATATCAAATATTATCACACGGCGAGAGTAAGTACTATATTTTAATATTAAATGATATAAATTGCTAATATACTAAGAGAATATATATATATGTAATTTTCATATTTGTAATAATAATTTGTAAATTATATTTGTTATTTTTTCTTTTAGTGAAGGATAAAGCATCCGTACTAGCTGAAGTCGCAAAACTGCAAGAAATACGTGATGAATTAACGACCGAAGTAACATCTTTACATGCTCAATTGGAGCAAGAAAGATCTAAAACACGTACATCCAGCGCAGACTTGAAAACATCTAAACAAACTGTAAGACAGCAGTTTAAAAAATATCATGTACTTTCATATATGAAACTGCACGTTATATAATTTTATTAATTTCTTCTTAAATACATTGGACAATGTTGAACTTATATATTTTGTATATTTCAGAACAAAAAGAAGCCGGCCAATGAAAATGCCTAATTCGCTTTTTGCGGAAAATTGTACCATTGTGATCTAATTTTTATTGATGATATATACTTATTGATTAAGTTGCAATCTGAAAAACATTACGTTTGCAAAAAGAAAAATTTCGATCTCTTATAATATATTTTATATTTACTTGTTAAATGTAAGTTTAAGATACAATTAGATGATAGCTCTTGTTAGCTCGATTGTTTCAAATGTATATTATGAAAATACGATTATAGCCTATACATTAGCAACTATTTTTCTTTCCTTTTTAAGTGATGCAATATGCGCTTTATTTTTCACACTTTTTATTGTTTTAACTAGTTAGTTATGGAAGGCATTATGAAAAAGTAATTTTTTATTTATGAACAGAATCTATATGCGCTTTTGCAAATTATCAGTTTTATCGTACATGTTATATTATCATCTTGCATATAGTAGATAGTTTTAAAAGAATAAAAGATAGTAAGATATTTTTTTTAATTTAGCAATATTAAAGAAATTTCATATGTTTGTAAAGAGATCTGCACAAAGGCTCTTCCAGAATAAATATTTTATAATGTATCATCTTCCGAACTGCGTATAATAATATACATATGTATGAAAAAATATATATATATATATATATATATATATATATATATATATATACATACATACCCACACACACACACACACACTCACATATTACTTAAAATATTTTGTAATAAACACCTTCTACATAACACTATTTTTATCATTAACCATCTCTATTTATTTTTTTATGTTATGTTATTAATCAAAATATAATTATTTAATTTTTAAAAAACTTGACAATAAGGAAGAAATTTTATATTTTTTTAATAATTATTTCACCATTTGATTTTTAACTTTATCTAAATATAATTTTATAATTTCTATAATTCCATAATTACTATACTTTTGTTTCTAGATAATTTTAAATATATTTTTGCATGTTGTTAAGATATATTACATTTTATAAATTTAAATTTATACATTTGTAAGATCTTTTATAAATTTAAATTTATACATTTGTAAGATCTAAAGATAATTTTACTTATAATTTACCGGAAAAGTATGATATGAAAAATGTAATTCTTATTTTAACAATTATATGATTTAAAGGTAATGTTATGTGATTTCCAAATTCGCGAATTTCAGTCTCGGTTTATGCGATTGTCATCATCTCTATTCTACCAATTTCCAGTCCTTTCAACCATTCCAGTGGGCACTACATCCATTCGCACGATACTAAGCTTCATCCGGATTATACGTGCGGTTGCGCATTTTTATGGAAATTTTTTTGTTCGTTTTTTCTGCCTCGAGTTATTCCGCGTGAATTTTTTTTCGAGCTCGCTACCAGCGACTTCAACATGCAGTTCGATACGTTACACGTTTCGTGATTCTTTCTTTTTTTCTTCTTTTTTGTACGGTTTTGCTCCATTCGTTCCCTTCAACATGCCTAAAAAAAGAGTTTTTGTATTTCGGTGTTAGTTTTAAATATGAATTATGTTTTATACAAAAAAAACAGATGGTCCTTAAGTGGATAGAAATTAACAATTTTTTATATACATACATATATATGTAAAATTGAAAAATACTAATGATTCATGAAATGAAATGAATTAGACATTTATATATAATTCAAATCTTTCACTCCCATTAATACAATATAATATGAGCCAAAAAGAATCTCGAATGACGATTCACTGTCAAGTTTCATTAGAAAAGATTGTTCTTTTTAATAGATTTATCGATGAAAATTGCAACAATTATGTTGAATAGGTGGCGATTAATACGATGGTTTAATTTTACCCGGAGACTGACATGTGGTAGCGACCTAGGTACAGGCACATACTCATCTTCTGACTGAAATCTTGACCAATAAAAGGGGCATTAGCGCTAAGTGGACGCCTCGCCTACTCGGTCATAGTCCTGTTTGCTACTCGAGAGTAGAGGGTGGAAAGTGCGAGGGACGCGTTTAGCGACAGATATAACTGCCGAACTTGTGACAGCTTCCGCCAATATATCAAATTATCAAAAAAAAAGGATAAAAATAAATTGAAAGCAAGCATAACGATATTTAGACGATACAAACTTATATTTTTTACGAGACATTTTGTATTATTTTAAAATGTAAGCACAGCTTTAAATTTATTTGTTCTATACTTTACTATATTATCTCGAATGCTAATAATTTACCCACATAGCATGCACATCCAAAAGATGTCCAGAAGGTATCCAGAAGATATCTTTAGGCGATTGGACATCGTCAGGATGTCCTGTGAATATCTTTTGGACATAGATGCTATATGGGTATTAAGTGAAAATTTTTTCAAACGCGATGAAAAACAACACTTAACATTTTTTTTTTATAAGATCTGAGATTAATTCGATGATCTCTTCATTTCGTATTAATTAATTGCCGAAATCTTTCGTAATTATGTTTTGATTTCTGAGAGTACAAAATTGTTTTTTTTTTGTTTTAGGAAATAAAACGCGACTTTCTCGAATCCATCGCTGCCGAGAGAGACAACGAGCAGGAAGGAAGGGAGAAAGAGTGAAAGAGATAGGGGTGAGTTAGCGAGCAGTAGGGAGAGGGAGAAGGAAAGAGGGCGTCGAAAGGGAACACGGTAGATTGAGGGTTTTAGGACGCGCGGCGGTATAGGGGGTGACAGTGGGGATTCATTATCTGACAGTCTATTGTCATTCCTGCGGGCTGAGATTTTACTTGGGCCAAGAGTACCGCGGCATTACTACTCTCTATAGATGTATATGCGGTGAAATGCGATATCTTAAAAAAAAAAAACCTGTTTGTTGGAAAGTCGAGGATTTCAGTTGGCTACATTTCCTTTTACGCACAACGACAACGATAATGCACATTGCCTTCCTCCCTTCAACCCTCATTTTTTCTCTCTCTCTCTCCTTTAAATTTACTCACGGATAGATATCGAATTTAGCCTTTTTATGATATTGATGATTGAATACGCCAAACTCCCTTTAAAAAAATAAATTAGAAGTAAACGCAATGATTTTTAGACGATACATATTTTTCACGCGTTACATTTTGCATTTTTTATAATATAAACAGCTTAAAACAGCTTAAAACAGCTTAAAACTTATTTTTTAAATACTTTCTATATATCCAAATTCCGCTTTATTATGCGAAATTCTAGGATATTATTATTTATCGAATACGCAGAACTCTTCGCGAGATACGAGATACGGAAAATGAAAAAGACGAACTGAAAAAATTAATTCAAACATTAGGCAGCAAAATTAAAAAGCAGCAATAATCGGCGAGGGCTCTCTCGATATCACGATGTTTATTCATCTGCGATGCGTATCCGCAGTATCATTAATGCTCTTTTGCGAATATAGCAGCGTGCGTTAAGTGTCTCATCTTTGTATATGTATTGTATACAGGATGTTTCGATAAAAGTGTGTATTCTCTCATGAGCGTATAGAGCAGATAAAAATAATCTCATAAATTTCTATGAAATTCTTTTCTACATGCATCTCCCACCGAGATCTTTAAATTTTAGAAGCATTTTTCTTCTAAACAATTTTTATATCACTCTATATATGTATGTATAAATTTTAATAATTTACAATAAATTTTATATTAAATGAAAGTCACGTCTTCAAAAAATGACGTATACGATAGATTTCTTTATATCACTTAAAGAGCCAGAAACACACGAACCATCGTATAATTAGCTATGTTTAATTAAACTGAATAATTAATTATTATCATTGTATTCTTTTACATCTGTTTTCACTTTCTTTTTAATTTTATTTTTATTATATGTATTGTTATTTTTCTTTTTTCTCTTTTTGTATTTTTTATTTTAGTATAATGTTATTACGTAATCGAAGAGAATTTCCTGTAAATAAAAATTTATCTTTATTTCATTTTTATCTATACGTTTTCTTACAAGACTTTGGAGTCAGTAGGTTTCTTGTTGACATTTTGTCAAAACCAATTGTTTTAGAGAAAAAGATATGATTGATCGATAAAAAGTAAATGGTAAAAGATGCAAGTAGAAAAAAATTTTATAGGAACTTGTGGAGTTATTTTTGTTTTACATGCCCATGAGAAACTGCCTGCCTTTACAACATCCTGTATATTATCAGACGACGAAATTAAGACTAACGAGGAAAGTATTTCGAGCATCGCACAAAGGAGACGATGATTTACCCCGATGACGAAAAGAATGAATTTCTTGCAGAGGATAATGAGATCGCGATCTTTGCGTCCCGTTCGATCGAAATAATATCCGGAGAGATATAAAAATCGACAAACGGCATCTGTATAATTTAATACAATCAGGAGCAAAGATGCTTGGGAATCTCGGCAGCAATAATGTCTGATTCTACATCTGTTTTGCAAAAGCGGGAGAAGTGGAAGGGAGAGAAGTAAGGAAGGATTACAAGTGCAATTTAAATAGATCATGTTGGCGGTTCAATCTGATCTACGTCGTTATTTCAATTGTATACTCAAATTCGGCTATAGATTAAAGAATTATTCTAAAATTCTTTCGCTTGTAATGAATATATTTTTTTAATCAACAACGTATACATGATTTTAAACGTCACACGAATATTATGTCACGAATATCCTTCCTGAATAATGATTAGGTTTGAGGAATAATCCGTATCGTCGCGGCTATTAGACCTTTGAATATCTAATATGTCACTAGTCAGATTACATCTGACCAAGATCAAGTAGATCTCACACAATGTATCGAACGATCACCGCATCCATATTCAGTACACCGTTCGGCAAATTGCCGCTTAAGACAAGATACATCTCCGCTCGATCCATTGGATGAAACCTTACTATCATAAGCTTCGATCCTCTTCGCGAGCATATGTTGACAGAATATCTAATCACGCGCCGGCAGTTGCTTTCTAAAGGGAGATACTCGGATATATTCCGCGAATATCGCTGTCGCTTTTATATCATAATGATACGCGTTAAAATCGTCGAAACTTTCGCCTTTACGAGATTCCGCCTCGTTATAAAACGAAACTCGGCGTGTAGTCGTAAAACTAAAAAGGTCGCGAGAGAAAGAGAAAAAGATGTGGAGGAATGTAAAACGTTACGTGTGAAAAATTGATTACCGCACAAATTCGAATCGAGGGGTATTTTTACACCCTCATCCCCCGAGGCGGATGCGACGCGTCGCATCCGTTCGTTCGTCGATGTACGCGCACGCGAAACGATTAAAGTTTTAGAAGTATCGATTCTACCACGGCGTTAGCCGTTGACAGACAGAGGGATCGTCAAAGAGCATAATAATTACTGCGGGCCCGTAGAGAAGAGAGGCTCAAACCCTTTGTTCTATAGTCATTTTACGGAAAGAGGAGGGAGGGGGGCGGGAGGCCTCACGCGGGGGGGAGCTAACGCTACCCCGCCGCGAAGGGGTCGTTCGCGGTTGGAGAGCATCCGTTTCAACCGCGCCATTATGTAATTGATCCGGGCCTTCCGTATGAACGCGATCATTCGTACGGATCTTTCCTCCCGTATGAAAGCGTTAGAAGAGAAAGAGAGATGTAACA